CTTTTCTTGACTGGTCTTGTGACCCCTTGTTCTCCCCCACTTTGCCTATAGGGGTGTGTCAAACTATAAATGTGTTAGGCTGTAGTGGGGTAGCCCACATGGGGTACAACCCAAAGTTAGGGTTAGTACTTGTACCCTTTATTCATTCAATGCAGTCATTCCTGCTCGTTAATTATGATAGCGTTAGCAGGCGCAGTGGCGTTGGCTGGACCCGCAGCAGAGACGCGCGCAGGGGCAGAAAGGAGCATCGCAGATGCGATGACGACAACGAGGAACGAGGCCTTAGTAGGTGACTGGCCGAAAAACGCCATTTTTGCTTCTGTGTGTGTAAGACAAGGCTGAGATGTTCGAGTAGTGTTGCAAAACAGCTTCTAATTTAAGAGGAAGATGTTTGAAATCGGTGATGAGATGAGCGGCAGTAGTAGCTCCTCATATGCTTCAAAACTGCTGCGTCTAGGGATTGTGCCGTGAGTGGCGGAGATAGCTTTGCTGTTGATTAAACTTCAAAGTTCTGCACATTGATTCGCCAGAGTTGGTGGGGGAAGCTGGGAAGTCAATGGGATGAATGTTATTGCGAATAATTGCGGTTCGGGTGGATGAGTCGGCGAAACGACGACCAGTATCATCCTCGCGAGTTATGGCTGAATACGTTGCGGAGAAAACCGGATACATAGACTCCTTTATTTGCGACATACATCGCCACACAGAAAACCTTGGAAGACCTGAACTTTCGCGCAAATCGCTGTGATGGCTCCGCTACAGACTTTGGTGGGGTAGCTGGGCTACACGAACACATCATTTAAATGGTTTTCTTATGTTACTACCTCTACTGGATATCTTTGCACCCACTCGTGTAAAAAACGTTGTTACCAAGGAATTCACTGGAAGAACATCAAGGTTGAAAAAATGAAAAGCAATTACACATAAATCTCACATGCACAAAGCGAGTACACATTATGTTAATGTTATAAATGGGTTTGGAAATTGCGGGTACAAAGTAGGTAAGGGCGCGGAACATTTGAAAATTTTACAAAATTTTCCGTACGGTGGTCCCTAGTTGCGTACCGTCGTCCGGTTTGGTCCCAACTGGACGACGGTTCCGACCATTCTTTGTCCAAAGCTGAAGTTGGAACATTTGAATGAGTTTTGATTTTACGTTTTCGAACCTCGCCGCAGACGACTGGCCACGTCGCATTCAGTATTGGCCCTCTTGCATGCGACCCCAAATGCAGTCGCGCGATTACTGTACATCTGAGTTCCGAACGGGGCAAAACAACCCATTCGAACATTGTCAGCGTGAGCAAAAAGTCAGCGTCAGGGTTCCAACAGTCGTCCGTATCTGTGAGAAGTCACAAACCTATTGACGAACAAGTTCGCGAAAGACCACGAAATGGGAAACTACACCGAGTTTCGAACGACGCTCTGGTTCGAACGGGTCGATTTTCAAATGTTCCGCGGGCCACAACTTTCAACCTTAGGAAGGTTGGTTGGGGCCAAATTTGCTATTGGCCCGCGAAGGGACTGGATCGTCGAAAAGTTTTGGAAGCTTGAACCGATTTCGTGCTTCTTGACCCTCCGGTTTTAATGAGGGTGGTTTCAAAAACTGTTGTCAATAAGATGGCGTTCACAGCAAGTTCCCCCAACCGAAGTAGCCCCAAGAGGCCCAAAGTGCAGATATTTGGGTCCAGCGTGGCAGTTTTGCAACCTCGCACACCCACTCCACGTGCCATGCGAATGTGGATACACACCTAAACGAGTTTGAGCGAATGTTCAAACCCAATCAGGTGCATGTAACCCCGTCGACTTCAAGATCGTTCATGACAAGCCTTCGTGAAGCAACCCCAAAACACGTGTTTCACAAATATCTGTGCACTGTTGTTGAGCGCGGTTCGCTTTGGGGGAACTTGCTGTGAACGACATCTAAGGGCGCGTCACCTCTCAAGCAGTCGGCCAAAATTCGAATGCTGTCACTATTTTTCAGTGCCCGAACAGCACGATTCTGATGTTCGAACAAGATTTGAAAATTTGGTGAAAGGTGACGGTGTGTCACATGAAGTGACAGGTGTGTTCGAAAATGCGACGTCGCCTGTCGTGCAACGTCGTACAATCGTCGTCAGAAGATTTTGATTGCATAACGAACATAAAAAGGCAGTCGTAAGATACCTGGAAACTTCTTCGTGCTGTTCGTGGGCGTCGTATGTGCTCATCCCGAATTACATTCAAACGAACTCATTCGAACAGCAAGCGCGAAATCCCTCGTGCTGGATGTGACAGCTCTGTTCGATTTAGCGACGTTTCTATTTGCGAACTAACGAGGACTCAACGAGCTGCTTGCGAAAATAGGCGAGATGTGTAACATGTCGCTTGTTCGAACAAAGGGCATTGTTCGAATTTAGAGGTGACGCGCCCTGATCCCAACCTCCCTCTGGTTCGCGCTTATCACGCCGTTGCGTGCGCGAGAGACATGATAAACAAATCAGGCCCTGTGTGCGATTATTGTTTCGCGAAGCGCTGAATGAGCTGATATATCCACATTTCGCAAACTCGAAACAGATCCTATCCTCGTTCGCAACAGATATGGCAGCCGTAGACCCGCCTCCCCCCGCACACCCAAAAGCAATTATTCGCATCAATGTTGATCCCAGACTTCCTCACTTCTCAGAATACGTGCGACTCGGACTGCAAAATTTCGCAGACCAATCTACAGCCAAGTCACACGCGCGACTCACGGTGCCCGTCCCCAAGCAACAGCAGAAGTAGGTATAAAAGGAGCTACCATTGCCCGCTCATCTCATAACCGATTCGAACACGTTTACTAACCCATCAAGGAACTGCTAAATAGTACTAGCAACACCATTTAAGACTCGTCTGTTACGCACAGAAGCGAAAAATGGCTTCCGCTAAGGCAACTTTCCTCCTCGTCATCGTAGCCTCTGCGATACTCCTTTCCACCCCTGCGCGCGTCTCTGCCGCGGGTCCCGCCAACGCCACTGCGCCTGCTAACGCCACTGCCGCAGTGGCGTAAAAGGCTGATCCAAATTTCAGGGCCCCGTAGGTTTTTCCACCAAAAAGCTCCCAGAAAGTCACGACGTCATACAAAAAGTCCCAGCCGGGATGGTGACGGAAATGTCACATTAACGTACACCGCAAACGTGACAAAAAAGTCACGCTGTTGTAACTTCCCAGTGACTAGAAGCTGTTAGTCGCAAATGCGTCCACGGAATTGGCGAGGAAGTAGATGGCCTGGTTTCGCACGAGAATTACGACAGTGGTTGAAAGCGTTTGAAGGCGGTTTACCTGTGTATTGCTGAATGAGAAAAACAAACCAACTTGAATGCAGTGATCACGAGGCATGCGAAGCAACCCGAACACTAGCGAAACAAATAACAGACGGTGAAACTACTTCGTGACGGTCGTAAAAAACAAAACGAAGATTTTTGCGCTTCGATGCTACACGTCAGACTCGACAGTGGCGTGTGCAAACCAATCAAGGCTACTCTAGGGAAATGTGCGTCGCATCAAGGTTTCGCGAACGTTCCACGTCACACCTTTTAAACCCCCATCTTTCCCAACCTTCCTGAACCGTCTAAGCCGAGCCTCAAGAATCATTTGAGCCAATCGTTGGAGTGCACCTAAACAAAACTTTCACCTTCCCTTATCCTCCCACTATTCACACCGAACCGGACCGTGGATCACCCAAACCCCCATCAACCTTCACTTTCCCATACAAATGCTCCCTGCATCTCACAGTTTGTTCAAACCTTGTTTGTGTGGCCTCCTATTTGTCACACCCATCTAGCACACTCAGCCAACTGTGCTCTACCTTCATGCTCTAGGCTTACACACTACAGCTTACCTCTCCATAGGCGGTGTGTTTATACCTATCGTTGTTCAACCCCCACCACGTGTTTTTTTTCATTAGAGAAGCTACTTGGAACCGCATACCTCATTCTCTCTCTACTCTCCCCATCCGCCCCCCCACTTGCCAACATGCCACTCCCCTCTGGTGCCCCGCGTGGCAGATCACAGCGCTTCAACGCCGCAAGCATAACGATGTTAAACCGCCACCCAGGCAACCGGTGGGGTCAACTGTACTGGTCAGTGCCCAGTGTGTTGCCTGGCTCAAACACCTTCTCTTTAACGCGTGGCAGATGGCCTACGCGACTGCGTAGCCCTTTGTTTCCTATGGTCTCGATTCTCTCTCTTCTTCATATTGCTTTTGTTTATCTCTTTGTGGCAGAACGCAAGGTGCAGTGCGACTGCAGCCAGCACCACCAAGGAGCATGTCATGCTACTTTGTGCAGCATGTTCGAAAAACAGCGACAAAAGTGCAGTGGCGCATATTCCAGTTCGACCGTTCCGTACTTCGCTTTTGTCATTCAGGCAAGCTTTGATGCTGACTGTGCGATTTTGCGACCGACAGAGCATCATGACGTTGGCTTGTGTGTGTGCATGTGGATCTGTCGTGACGTCATCCCTGCTATTTTTGGTGTTAAAACATAGGTACCGTTGCACTAGCCCCTCGAACGCTCCGCCCCATGTTTCCTGAGACTCACGATCTATTGCTATGATTGTCTTGCGGGTTTCATCACTCACATAACTGGTGATGTTTTTGTGTGCAGATTCATCACGTTCCATTTTGTTCTGTATTAGCTTTCTTCTTTTTTGCAGGTTTGACAGTTCCGAACGACCATACTGGCAAGATGTTTTCGTAGCCACGCCACGGTGTTCCGGGCTACACGTTCGTACATTTGCGCAGTTGCTCGCCAATCGTACATCTGCGCAGTGGCTTTAGTTCGTACATCTGCGCAGTGGCTTCAGTTCGTACATCTGCGCAGTGGCTTCAGTTCGTACATCTGCGCAGTGGCTTTAGTTCGCACATCTTTCGGTAGCTTTAGTTCGTACATCTGTGTAGTAACTTGTATGTTGCGCATGTGATGTGACTAAAGGAGCCCATTCGAAATGCCAGCTGCTGTATTCTGAAATTTCCGCGTACGGAAATGGGCGATGCTGCGTCGCTCGATAATAATCGCCACCCAATCATAAAACATTTCTGCACCCACGTCCCCGAGGTTTGATTGGTTCATATCCACCAATCAACGACAATGACACGTGGCAAAATATCTTGGCATACGTGACACGTGGCAAGGTTACATAAAAGTGACGAGAAAGTCGCTTCACCAGACACTCTACTGTGACATTCTGTGTGACATTATGTCACATTTACGTGACATTTCCGTGACAACGCAGGGAACATCGTGGCCGGTACTTTCAACCATGACTAAAAAACGCCGGACTTGCTGTCACATAAAAGTCACATTTCGAGCACTTTTTTGTGACTTTCGGCACTTGCCATTTTCGCGATGGCGCCCGCCAACGCGACTGCTAAGGCGGCAGCGCCTGCCAATGCGACAGCGCCTGCGAACGCGACGAAGTCTGGAAATGCCACGAAAGTCGCCAACAGCGCGGTGGGAGTGGCGACGGCGAGGCTGAGCAAGGCCGCGGGCGAAGGAAAGAACTCCACATGCTCCTACTACGGAAACTACAACGCTAACCTTTACTTCGGCAAGGGGCTCACCGCGAAGCTTCCTGACGCGCTCTTCGGCAAGCGCTGCGGCGCGTGCTTCAAGGTGATCTGCACCAACGACACGAAGCGCTGCCGCAGCGGCAAGGCCACCGTCACCGTCCGCGTCATCGGCGCGACTTCGGCGACGGAGAAGCAGATTTCGCTCTCCGCCGTCTCATGGGCGAAAATTGTTCAGGGTTCCGACGCCGCCCCTGTTAACGTCACGTACAAGCGCACCAACTGCATTTCCACCGCCGGATCCGCGGTGCGCGTGCGCAGCAACTCTACCGCGGAGCATTTCAACATCCACATTGTGGGCCTTGCCGGCCCCGGCACGCTTATCGAGGTCGAGCTTAGCGCGGACGGCAAGAAGTGGGTGAAGATGACCCGCGACGAGAACAGGGCGATCTGGGGGATCAAGGGCGCGGAGGCGAAGGAGGTTGTGGGCGCGAAGAAGGCGATGAGCGTTCGCCTGACTGCGGGACACACCCACGAGAAGATCACCCTCAAGAATGTCATTCCCGCCGCATGGAAGGCTCAGACGATCTACTCGTCCAAAACCAACTTCAAGAAGCTCATGCCTGAGGCCAAGTAGGCGTCGCCGTGAAGAGTGTTCGAGCCTCTGTGCTCGTCGAATAAAAGCTTAAGAGGCATTCGCGAAGTCAGAGGGAATGTGACAGGCAGAGGGAATGTGCGGTGGTGACGGAGGGATGATGGGAGGAACGTGATGCTGGGAACGAGGGAGGGAACGAAAGTGCATTTTAGAATGACAAGTCTATGGGTGAATGCCAGGGTTTCGGCTGGGATGGGATTGGGTTAGTGCGGGAAGTGGGTTGTGAAGTGTGATGGTGGGGGGACTAGGAAGCGCTCTTGTATGCTTCTTATACTAATGCTCTTTTTACTAATGCTCTTTTTACTACTGCTCTTTTTTTTTTTTATGTGTGCAAAATATTCACAGGCAGACACTATTTGGTTGTGTTCCCAACATTTGGTTGTACTCGTCACGCAGAAAATGAATGCTCAATGTGTGGAGCTAAGCGATGGTACCAGTGAGCAATTGGTGCTCTTCAGTTACCGGTAGTTGTAGCATGGATACATCCACTTGTTTCACTAAGACCTCCAGATATTTCCCTTCTACAAATGAGCTCTCCACTCACTGCTTTCCTCCTTCCCTCTGGTACAGCAGTAGATACGCCTGCTCCTGTAGCATGTGTTTGGGAGGAACATTCTAGAATTCTCAAACATGCATACATGCAAAGGAGCCCTACGCTCACTGCTTTCCTCCTTCCCTTTGGTACAGCAGCAGATACGCCTGCTCCTGTAGCACCCGCTTGGCAGAAACAGACAAAACCCGCGCGTCGTCAAATCTAAGCCAGGATCCGTCCGGCTGGCGAACATCGGCAGTGTAGTGGCCCGAGGAAGGATCTCTGCCCTGGTGCACTACAGTGGCAAAAAGGGAGTATCGCCGTTCCTGGTGGTACATGGGAAAGGAGGTTAAGAGGAAGGAACAGGTTTCTGGCACCCTGGAAAACGAAGGGAGCGAGGGCGAAAGTAGAGGAGCGTGTGGGAGATCTGTGGAGATAGAATCCTACACCAGGATTGAGAAACGATGGACATCGGTTCAGAAACAGACGAAGAGGAGGGAAGCGGGTGAAATTGAAAATAAACAAAGAGACAGAGGCATGAGAATCCTCAAGCATCGCCCACAAGGGACGCGGAACAGCTTGACACTAACAGAGATAAGAGAGAGTCACAAAGGCACAAAGTCTAGTTTTGAGGCGCCTCAAAACTAGATAAGAGAGAGGCACAAAGGAGACAGAGGCATGGGACGGAAAGGATGGATGGATAGGATGGATAGGATGGATAGGATGGATAGGATGGATAGGATGGATAGGATGGATAGGATGGATAGGATGGATAGGATGGATAGGATGGATAGGATGGATAGGATGGATAGGATGGATAGGATGGATAGGATGGATAGGATGGATAGGATGGATAGGATGGATAGGATGGATAGGATGGATAGGATGGATAGGATGGATAGGATGGATAGGATGGATAGGATGGATAGGATGGATAGGATGGATAGGATGGATAGGATGGATAGGATGGATAGGATGGCTTACAGCTGGAGAAGGTAAGAGTGCATGGAAAATGGGACAAGATGATTGCAAAAGGAGTTTCCAGATTGCATAGGTGAAATTAGCAGCATAGGTGAAATTAGCAGCATAGGTGAAATTAGCAGCATAGGTGAAATTAGCAGCATAGGTGAAATTAGCAGCACGGGGTGATGTGTAGACGAGGGTAAGAGGAGGCCCGGGAGGAGAGGGTAAGAGTGCTGATCTCTGCAGAGGGAGCGGAGGAAAAGAGGAGGCCGTGCGAGAGAGTGAGGGAGAGAGGGAAGGAAGGAGACGGGCTTGTGGATCTTCACTATGGAAGGAAGCACCTAATTAAGTGAAGGGCGGAAGAAGGTAAGTAGCCATACCTCGGCAGATGGAGAGCAGGAGAAGAGGAGGTCCCGTGAGAGAGTGAGGGAGAGGGGAAACGAGACAGGCTTGTGGATCTTGACGATGGAAGGAAGCACGTAAATAAGTGAAGGGCGGTAGAGGGTGAGAAGCCATACCTCGGCGGAGGGCGAGGAGGAAAAGAGGAGGTCCCGTGAGAGAGTGAGGGAGAGGGGAAACGAGATGGGCTTGTGGATCTTGATGCTGCCGGCGGTGGAATGGCTGAAAGAGAATCGCATGAGGTGCAGCACCAGCACGTGGGGGAGGGCGGAGATCTTCACCGTCTTGGACGCAAGAACCGTCTGGTTGGGCTGGGACAGAAAGGCACGAGAATGGGGGAGGGAGGAGAAGGAGAGCGGGAAGGGGAAGGAGTAGGAGAATCGCATGAGGTGCAGCACCAGCACGTGGGGGAGGGCGGAGATCTTCACCGTCTTGGACGCTAGCACCGTCTGGTTGGGCTGGGACAGAAAAGGGGGAGGATACGGAGAGGAGGAAGCAGATACATGAGTGTGCAGCTCCTGCGGCGCCTTCTCCAGCAGCCCAAGGAGGTGGCGTTGGCAGGCAATGAAGGCCTTCCGTAGAGGGGCTTGTGGATCTTGACGCTGCCGGCGGTGGAATGGCTGAAAGAGAATTGCATGAGGTGCAGCACCAGCACGTGGGGGAGGGCGGAGATCTTCACCGTCTTGGACGCAAGAACCGTCTGGTTGGGCTGGGACAGAAAGGCACGAGAATGGGGGAGGGAGGAGAAGGAGAACGGGAAGGGGAAGGAGTAGGAGAATCGCATGAGGTGCAGCACCAGCACGTGGGGGAGGGCGGAAATTTTGACCGTCTTGGATGCTAGGACCGTTTGGTTGGGCTGTTGATGACGGTAGGGGTAGGGATGGAGAGGGAGGAGGGAAAGGAGAAGGAGAATTGCATGAGGTGCATTAGCACGCAATTGCATGGCATAGCATGGCATGGCACGTGGGGAAGTGCGGATATCTTGACTGGTTTGGATGCATGCAACGCTATTGCATGCCATGCCATGCTATGCTACGCCATGCCATGGCATGCCATGCCATGTCATGCTATGCCATGCTATGCCATGTCATGCCATGCCATGCTATGCTACGCCATGCCATGGCATGCCATGCCATGCCATGTCATGCCATGCCATGCCATGCCATGTCATGCCATGCCATGCCATGCCATGCCATGCTATGCCATGCCATGCCATGCCATGCCATGCTATGCCATGGCATGCAATGCTTTGCCATGCTATGCCATGCCATGCCATGCCATGCCATGCTTTGGTATGTCATGCCATGCTACGCTCCCCGATGCTACACTTACAATGCTCACACACACTCCCGCCCATTCCCCCTTCCCACACGCCTTGATGCTGCAGATTGTTTTTGAGAATTCTCAAAAACAATCTGGAGAATTCTCAAAAACAATCTGAGAATTCTCAAAAACAATCTCACACACACTCCCGCTCATTACCCCTTCCCACACGCCTACCTTGGCGTTGCTGGGTCGATAACCCTCCACCACCTCAGGCGCAGCAAAGGCTTTAAGTGCCTCTTCCACAGATCTGATCCGATCCGATGCTATGTCCAGCTGTAGCAAGGAGAAGGGCTGCACTGTAGCTGATGGCTTGCTGCCTGCAGTGTGGGATGGGGAAGGGGAAGGGAGGGGAGAAGAGGGAGATGACATTAAGGAGAAGTGCTATGTCCAGCTGTAGCAAGGAGAAGGGCTGCACTGTAGCTGATGGCTTGCTGCTTGAAGTGGGGTGGGGGGATGTGGGAGGCAGGGTAGAAGATTAAACACTGATAGCTAATGTGACGAAATCAGATGCTATGTCCAGCTGTAGCAAGGAGAAGGGCTGCACTGTGGCTGATGGCTTGCTGCTGACCTGCAATGCAGACTCACCTGCCGACCGCACTTCACTCCTCAGCTGCCCCCCAAAGATCTCGCTCAGACAGGACGACCGCACCGCGTGGGTCCTCGTCACTGCTTCCCTGCCTCCATCCCTCCCTCCCTCACTTCTTCTCAGCAGGGAAAACACAGTCCCCAAAGCAAACTCACCTGCCGACCGCACTTCACTCCTCAGTTGCCCGCCAAAAATCTCGCTCAGACAGGACGACTGCACCGCGTGGGTCCTCGTCACTGCCGCCCGCTGCTTCGGTCCCACCGTCTGCCACTCCTCTGGATCCCCCTCCACCCCACTCTCTCCCTCTCCCTCTCCCCCTCCTCCGCCTGCCCCTGCTGCTGCTCCCCCTCCTGGCCTCGTGATGCTGTGACTAAGCTGAGATGTGACTTTAATGAGCTCCTCGTGCAAGCGGTCAGTCAGGAAGGTGAGAAACTCCTGGGCGTCCTCTTGCCTGGAAAGTTATGTGATTGTTTTGTGTCAGGAACAGAAAAAACCGAGATAAGAGTGGGAGAAATAACAGCAGGGCAGGTGATCGGCGAGGAAGGTCAGAAACTCCTGGGCGTCCTTGAGAGCGATTTTTGAGAATTCTAAAAAAATCACTCCTGGGCGTCCTCTTGCCTGGCGCAGAGAGCATGGAGGGAAGGGAACACACACACACACGGAATGAGAGAGGCGGTCAGTCAAGGAAGTCAACAAGGTGAGAAACTCCTGAGCGTCCTCTTGCCTGGCGCAGAAAGGGAGGGAGAGAAGGGTACACGGGAAGAGGGTCAGGTGTGACTGAACTGAGATGTGACTTTAATGAGCTCTTCGTGCAGGCGATTAGTGAGTGAGGAAAGTCAGTCAGAAACTAGTGCCACGCCACGCCACCTCCTGAGGTGAGACTAATTAGCGCCACCTCCTGAGCTGAGACTAACTAGCGCCACCTCCTGAGCTGAGACTAACTAGCGCCACCTCCTGAGCTGAGACTAACTAGCGCCACCTCCTGAGCTGAGACTAACTAGCGCCACCTCCTCAGCTGAGACTAACTAGCGCCACCTCCTGAGCTGAGACTAACTAGCGCCACCTCCTGAGCTGAGACTAACTAGCGCCACCTCCTGAGCTGAGACTAACTAGCGCCACCTCCTGAGCTGAGACTAACTAGCGCCACCTCCTGAGCTGAGACTAACTAGCGCCACCTCCTGAGCTGAGACTAACTAGCGCCACTTCCGTTCCTGTGGTTGGCTTACGAGAACGCTCACCTGAAGTGTACCCCGTTCCTGTGGTGCTGGGGATTGAACTGCGACAGCACCACTGCTCACCCCACTGCACTGAACAACACCCCTTCCTTGTCCCCCTCACAGCCCGCACTCCCTTCCATACACCCACCTCAGGTGCACCCCGTTCCTGTGGTGCTGGGGATTGAATTGCGACAGCAGCCCTTCAAAACATGAACAGCACCACTGCTCGCCCCACTGGCACCAATTTAGACCCCTTCCTAATCTCCCTCACCACTAGCATCACTGCTACAGACAGCATATGTTAAAGCTCACCTCAGGTGCACTCCATTTCTGTGGTGCTGCGGGTTGAACTGCGACAGCAGCCCTTCAAATCAATCAAGGACAGCACCACTGCTCACCCCACTGCACTGAACAACACCTCTTCCTTGTCCCCCTCACAGCCCGCACTCCCTTCCAAACACCCACCTCAGGTGTACCCCGTTCCTGTGGTGCTGGGGGTTGAACTGCGACAGCACCACTGCTCACCCCACTGCACTGAACAACACCTCTTGCTTGTCCCCCTCACAGCCCGCACTCCCTTCCAAACACCCACCTCAGGTGCACCCCGTTCCTGTGGTGCTGGGGGTTGAACTGCGTCCCGCACTCCCTTCCATACACCCACCTCAGGTGCTGGGGGTTGGCTTACGAGAACGCTCACCTCAGGTGTACCCCGTTCCTGTGGTGCTGGGGGTTGAACTGCGACAGCAGCCCTTCAAACATAGACGGCACCACTGCTCGCCCCACTGCCACCGCTGTCAACCCCTCTTCAACCCCTGCTCCAGCCGCCGCCGCCGCCGCCGCTGCTGCTGCTGTTGCTGATGCAGTTGTTGCTGTCAGGGCTGACGCAAACGATACACCTCGTGTGCCGCCAGCAACACTAGCAGCAGCCGCAGCACCAGCAGCAGGAGCAGGAGCAGGCACTGCAGCAGTGGCAGGTAAACCAGCTATCCCGCTCCCCGCCCCTCTCCCTCCCGCTGCCCCTGCCCCCATTCCCCCCACTCCCCCCACTCCCCCCACTCCCCCCACTCCCCCCACTCCTGCTCCTGCCGCCCCTTTTCCCCCTTTTCCTCTTCCTCCGCCCTTCCCCCCAACCATCCCCCAAGCTCCGCCCTCCCCAGCTGCAGCAGCAGAAACAGCAGCAGCAGCGCCAGCAGAACCTGCTACAGCCGCTGCTCCTGCTACAGCCGCCCCTGCAAGCCTCTCTGCTGCTACAGGGCCGGTAGACGACGACTTAATAGGTACCTCAAACTCCTTCCAGAAGTCAATCAGTGCTTTTAGCGTGGGGTGGCGAGCCTGGGAAATGGGAGACGGAGAGAGGCAAGAAAATATCGATATCATTGCCTATATCCCTCGACGGTGCTTCTCCTACAGCTGCCTCGAATGCTGATCTGATGATGGATACTTCGTTCGTACCAATGGATGTCTGTCTTTGGAGTCGACTCAAAAGTCAACTCGAATGCTGATCTGATGATGGATACTTCGTTCGTACCAATGGATGTCTGTCTTTGGAGTCGACTCAAAAGTCAACTCGAATGCCGATCTGATGATGGACATCCATTGGTACTTCGTTCGTACCAATGGATGTCTGTCAACCCGGGCTTCTCCACCCATAAACGCACCAGGAGGTGTGGTGCGTGCGAGGGACGCTGAGATGTCCCTCAAGAGATGAGCGAACGCAAGGCAACAGCAAGCAAAGCATCAACATTCCTCACCCCCTTTCGGTCACTCACTCCCTTCCCCCTCCCCTTCCCCCTCCCCCTCCCACAGACACACACACATACCAGGAGGTGTGGTGCGAGGGACGCTGAGATGTCCCTCAAGAGATGAGCGAACGCCCAGCAACCAGCCAGGTTCCAACAATTCCACGTGGTTTTCGTTCAATCCTGTCTCCTTCCCCCCTCCCCTCCCCTCCTTCCCTTCCCACAGACGTACCAGGAGGTGTGGAGCGAGGGACGCGGAGAGATGTCCCTCAAGAGATGCGCAAACGCAGGGCAGCCAGTGAGGGCCTGCATAACAATTCTAGGTGCTTTTCGTTCACTCCTATGCCCTCCTCCTTCCCACAGACGTACCAGGAGATGTGGTGCGAGCGATGCTGAGATGTCTCGCAAGAGATGCGCGAACGCAGGGCACCCAGCGAGGGCCTGCACAGCAAAGAGTTATGTCAAATGATAGAAAGCATGGGATGAGAACTGAAATACGGCGAGAAATTTGGTGGAATACTGAAACATATGGATGGAACCAAAGGCAACCAGCGAGGGCCCCAGAACAGAGTTATGTCAAATTGTGGAAAGTTGGGTGAGCAAAGCATGGGAAGGAATACACGGAAAGAAAAAATACAGGCACACAAAAAAAAAAAAAACAGGCAGAGTCAGGGAAAAAATTGAAGACAGTACGTCATGAGCTGGTTTTGCGAATTCTCAAAAACCAGCTTGCTGCACACAATACAAGGGAGGGAGAATGGAACTGAAAGAGCCTTAGGAAGGGAGGAAGAAGAGTACAAGCTTGGCTACTGAATGGCAGACGGTACCTGAAGCGTGGAGTTGAGGAAACAGAGATTGCCTCTGTTGACAAGTCCCCTGGGAGCAATGGGCACTGCTGCTCGCCCCACTAGGGGCTGGGAACCCAATAGCACCGGGACTACTGCTGGTGGTGGTGCTGCTGCTGGTGGTGCTGCTGCTGCTGCTGCTGGTGGTAATTGTGGTGGTGTTGCTGGCGCTGCTGCTGTTGCTGCTGGTGGGACTACTGCTGCTGGTGCTGGTGGTGGCGGTTGCGAGTCTGTCGCTGATGCTGCTTCAGCTTCCGGTGCTTCTGCTGGAACAGTCGCTGCTGCTGACGATGCTTGCACATGCACTGCTCCCTCTGCTCCTGCTGCGGCTGATGATTGCTCCGCAGCAGCAGTGGCAGCATTAGCGATACCAGCAGCTGATATGGCCGTGGAATTCTCCCCCTCCAGGTCTGTAAACGGCACACTAGCTGCTGCTGCTGCTGGTGACGGTACAGCAGCAACTACAGACTGCCTATGTTGTTCCAGCTGCTGCTCCTGTTGTTGCTGCTGCTGCTGCTGCTGCTGCTGCTGCTGTTGTGGTGTGGGTTTAGACGCGAGAAGAGAAGCCCAGGACTTCGGAGGAGTGTGCTTCGGAGGTGTGTGTTTGGGTGGGGTGTGTTGGGGAGGGGTGTGTTTGGGTGGGCCGTGCTGGGGAGGGCTGTTAGGAGGTTGTGAGGGAGGGGGGGAAGCTGAGGTAGACGGGGCAGCACTGGCAGCAGGAGAGGCCGCATTTGTCGCAGAAGGGGCTGCGTTTGCCGCAGGAGGGAGAGCATCAGGGGCAGTAAGAGTAGGAGGAGCAGCAGCAGTTGCAGCAACACTAGCAGCAAATGAGGCTGCGTTTGCCGCAGGAGGGAGAGCACCAGAGGCAGTAAGAGTAGGAGGAGAAGCAGCAGTTGTAGAAACATGAGAAGTAGACGCGGCGAGAGGAACAGCAAGTGGTTGCGCTGATACCTCTCCCTGCTGCACGTTGTTGTGTTGTGTTACTTGTGGTAGCACCTGAAGTAGCACTTCAGGTGCTACTTGTGCTTGTTCTTGTACTTGTTCTTCTTCTTCTCCGTGTGGTTGTGCTTCTCCTTGTGCGTGCGCGTCTGCCTGTTGCGTCGCTGCCTGTTGCACGTGCATCGCTGACTGCTGTGCCTGCGCTTCTGCCTGTACTTGCACGGCCTCTACCTCTGGTAGACTTTGTGCTGTCCCCTGCAGCTGCCCTGATGCTGCCTCTTGCTGCGTGGCTGTTGCCTGTCGCTGTACGACTGTCGCCTGTTTCTCTGCGACTGTCGTCTGTTGCTCTGCGACTGTCGTCTGTTGTTGCGCGGCTGTCGGCTGTTGTTGCGCGGCTGGCACTGGTTGCTGAACAGGTCGACCCCACACGTGGCGTTTCCAAGCGGAGGGAGGAGCCCCTTGCTGCGGCTGCTGTTGCTGTTGCGCTGATGCATCTGGTTGTGTTGCTTCCTGCTGCTGCGCTGCTGTTGTCGCCTGGTGCTGCGCTGCTGCTGTCGCCTGCTGCTGTGCGACTGTCGCATCTTTCTGGGTGGCTGTCGCATGTTGCTGCGCAGCTGGCACTGCTTGCTCAACAGGTCGACCCCACACGTGGCGATTCCAAGCGGAGGGAGGAGCCCCTTGCTGTGTTTGTGCCTGCTGTTGCTGCTGTGCTTGCTGTTGCTGTTGTTGTTGCTGCTGCTGCTGTTGCTGCTGTTGCTGTTGCTGCTGTTGCTGTTGCTGCTGCGCTTGATGTTGCTGCTGCGGCTGTTGCTGTTGCTGTGTCTGCTGTTGTTGTTGCCCGAATTGCTGCTGGCGTGGCTGTTGCCCCTGTTGCAAACCCCGTTGCCCTTCTCCTCTCCCACCAAAGCCTCTTCCTCCTTCCCCCCTGCCTCTTTCCCCCCTTCCTCTTTCCCCCCATCCGCCTCTTCCTCCCCTTCCTCCCTCCCCCCATCCGCCTCTCCCTCCCCTTCCTCCCTCCCCTCTTCCTCCTCGTCCTCCCCTTCTTCCCCCCCCTCCGCGCTGCTGCTGATTCCCTGATCGCGGTCGTTGTCTTGTAGCCTGCTGCCATTCCTCCTCCCCATCCTCCCTCTCTCCCTCCTTCGCTCCCGTCCTCCCCTCCACGATCACTCCCTCTCTCATCTCCTCTCTCGCTTCCCCTTCCGGCCTTTCCATCTCTTCTTGTCTGACTGTGCGCTGTTCAGTCCCTTCACCGGCAGTCGTTTCGGCGACGAGAGCCGGCTTCAGATCACGAAACTTACACCCTTTAATTTCCGCCGGGGTTTTACGAAAACAAAATACAGTACACCAGCCTTCAATTTCTCGGCAAAACACCAAGGGAAAAGGCTATTGTGAAAGATCGAAGATTGTTCGCGAAACTCTTACTTACCAATCCAGCAAGCCCTGCCCTGACAAAACCTAGGAATTCCAATGGAAAAACTGCAGCGTGCTGCTAACTCTCTAATGTATCACTAAATACTCGAGGGCCTCGCTTTTCGGAAAGTTATACGGGAAGCGAGGTTGCCTCTCTGCGGTTGATATGTAACCTACCTGCGTGAATCCAGGAAAGGAGGGTGTAACGAGGGGAGGAGAGAGAGGGGACAAGCTTTTCTACTGTCAGGGAATTGGAGGGTCTGGTCTGGGATGATGGTGTTGAGGTGTGGGGGCCTGGGAGATTTCGGGATTCTCGAGACTGTCTTGTTGGATGGGGATTCCTGGTTGGTGGGAATCTCAAGGCTTGAAATGTGGTTCTCGCTTCTACTGGTAACTAAGTGCTCGATCGACGGCTGAGATTTACAGAGAAGATGAGAACCAAAACGCATTCTGACAAGATTTGGCCTGGGAACATATTGGGCTGGTTGTACGCGCTACAGAGCAGTAAATTGACTAAAGACATTTTTCACTATGTTACACTGTACGTAACTTGAAAAGGTTCACTTTCCCCGCCTCCCCCACCTCGATTTCTCCAACCAGCACAACCCGCACCGTACCGCCTCTCTTTGCCCAACCGCTTCGCTCTAGGCTCATTTTCTTGCTTGGGACGCTCAGCACCACTGATTACCCGTCATTCCACGTCGCTCCGCGCCATTCCGCGTTCTTCCGCGCCGCCCTGCGTCGCCCCGCGTCGCTCCGCGCCATCTCTCCCCACCTTGTGGAACGCACTCGGAGCGAACCTCTGTCAAATCCGCCGCGTCGAATC